AAAATGATAATGTGCATTATGTTTTAATTATACTTCTTATCATTCAGAAGCTTTTTGTGTGTGTTTATGTTTTACTGAGTGCTTATAGGCAATTTCCATCCCAGTATTCAGTTAACTATTTATTTTCTGCGCACATTACATAGACTAGCTAATATTCTACCTTCTGCTTGGGACTTTGAGTCTTCAAAATGTCCAATGTCACAGACTGGGACTTACTTTAGAGTCAGTTGTATTTACATTCAGTATGACTTGTTATGATTCAATGTGAAAGAATATACTGCTCAATAAATAGTGATCACCTCACCACCTCTCTTGACATCTAGGCGCTTGAGAGTGAGGCAGAGGCAGAACACAGGGACAGTGGAGAGAGGTCCATTGCTGAGGTGAGTGATGAAAGGGAAATGACAGTTTAGAGTAAATTGTGATGTGGACTCTCATCCCAGAATGTTAAGGAAATCAGTGGGGATATTGAACAGGAAGCATTTCAGTCAAGGGGCATCATATGACCAATATAGACAGAAGAGCAACATTTAAGTCAATGATACCATTCCTAGGTGAACTTAACATCTGTATGGAGTCAGATCAGTCTCAATATTAATAAATGCTCACAGAAGGATTCACAAATGTATTTTGAGATTTATATATAAATGACTCTCCACAACAATATCTCTCAATGCACTCACAAATATTTATTGTTGTATATAAATGTACAAAAAAATGGGCATTTAAACTGCTTTTTATTAATTAAAAGACGGCTCTGAATTAATAATCAAATATGTTTCCTTTCTTTACTACTGGATGAAATTACAAAATGCACCCATCATTTCCCTCATGCTAGTATAGCCACATAAAAGTATCAAACCACATGTTAAAATGCACCAGAATACAGGAAATCTATTTTTTTTCGTGGGGGAGGACCCCCACACCCCCCGTTAAAGATGTCCCCCCCACATTCAGGATGCTTCCTACGCCCATGGTCATGCCTCTGTGCAAGGCTTAGTCTTTCTATCTTTATGGCATCTAGTGTAAAGTAACTAAATCCATAAACTCAAGTACTATACTTGGGTACAATTTTGAGATACTTGTACTTTATTTAAGTATTTCAATGTTTTGCTACTTTGTTCTTCTTCTCCTCTACAGTTCAGAGGTAAATGGTGTACTTTGACTCCACTACATGTATTAATACCTTTAGTTACTTTACAGATGTGGATGAATGATGTGAAATCTAATCAAGTGTTGAATCAGACTTTAGTTCCACCTGGAGTAAATCCACAAGCTACCCTGCAGTATACAAAGTCATTCAAACTAGCTGCACCTTTACCAGCTTTGAGAACACTTTCATTATCAATCTTTATAAAACATATCATATATATTATTCTGAAATGAACCAATCTGCACAACGACTACTTTCACTGTTGCTGCTTTCACTATATTTTGATGAGAATACTTTTCTACTTTTACTTGAGGAACATTTTGAATGCAGTACTTTTACTAACAGAGTATTCCTACACTCTGGTACTTCTACTTTTACTCAAGTACAAGATCTGAGTATTTCTGCTTTTAATCAAGTACAAGATCTGAGTACTTCTACTTTTACTCAAGTACAAGATCTGAGTATTTCTGCTTTTAATCAAGTACAAGATCTGAGTACTTCTACTTTTACTCTAGTACAAGATCTGAGTGCTTCTAATTTTACTCAAGTACAAGATCTATACTTATACCACCTCCGTTTATAGCCTATGAAAAAAAACTATTAGAAAACTAAGGCTAAAGCTAACGTTAGCAGATAGTGACAATGTATGCTAGCTAGCTAGCTCAACGATAATATTGCGACAGAAAAACGTTTCAGTTCACATCACGCTCTGCGCTCCGACAGGGAGCTCTGCTCTGAACACCTGAACGGCCCGTTCTAACAGCTGTTCACCAGCGGTCCAGTCTGTACCACAGTGACTCCGGACCGCACAGTTAATATTAACGAACGCACCCGTAGGTAATGTGGCTGCTGAAGCTAGACCATCATCGCGGAGCAGCAGAGCCGACAGGCAGGAAGACTCGAGCACACAGCTCGCGCTGCATTATAATATATAAAAAAAGAACACCATGCGTGTCAAGATGGCACATAACAGCTCGCGGCCGCAGATTACTCCGGGTCCCAGACCTACATGAATCACACAAACGACCTATTTTGGATTCAAAACGGCGAATTTCGCTGAAAGGTGAGTGATTCTCATGCCTGTTTTATACTTCTCTTTCTGAAGTTTTTTGCAACGCCTTTCTGCAGAAGATGTAGTAACCTTCTTCTTTTCCTCTGGTGTGGAAGATGCTGGTGGATTAAAAGTTTCATTTAGGGGTATCGGGTCCACCATAGCTTGTCCTGCATTTTCTGGCTGTTCTTGTTCTACATCTGAAAAGTTCTCTGGTGGTGTAAGGTCAAGTAAAGGGTTTGCCATGTTGGTCCTTTCCCTGTAAGTACTGGATATGTCTGTCTGTCTGTCTGTCTGTCTGTCTGTCTGTCTGTCTGTCTGTCTGTCTGTCTGTGTCTCTCTCTCTCTCTCTCTCTCTGAATCTTTCCCTGCTGTGTCCTTCTCTAGTAGTTGAAACATATATAAATAAACAAAATGTATAGCATCATGCCATTTATATATGATGAATAGCCTATTTTATCTCAGATGGTTGATAGATGACAGAGAAGATGAAAATGTTAATAAAAAAGGAAAACAACACCACAACATACCTTTCTCTTCTCCTTGCAAGGTACTCTGCTCTTGCTGCGGGGTCAGAATTAACACGCTTGCCTATGGCAAGCGCTTTTTAGAATAAAACAGTTAAAAATAAATAAATGCATAAAAATGATTCACAATGAGTCTAAAGTAAAGTACAGATGTAGCACTCCAGATATCCACCCAGCGGATTCCAACCGAAAACCCAGTGGATCCCAGTGGCTGGGGGCGTTGCCAAATTTCCCCATTTTAGTCCAGCAGATAAGTGAAATATCTGAAAGAATTGTGCTTTTGATAATAAAAACATGACATTTGGCACACTGTTAGAGCATGCCCTAAGGGAGATTTTTTGGCTATAGGGCCATCGCAAATTTGTCCATTGGTTGTTATTTTACCAGTAGTTTAAGATCTAGACCACCTAGGATCTTGATTCTGGTGGCTAATCCTACATTTTCAAGGATGGGGAATGCATTGGTACTATTTACAACATGCTAGAATGTAGCTAACTATATGTATCTGGTATTCAAGGAACAAAATACACAGTAAACCATTAACATATTTATTATGGTGAAGTAATACATGTTACATAATATATATGTAATATTACAGGTTTTCAACTAAATGCAGACTTAGTTCTGAAAACACAGTCCACCACAGTGGCAAAGGGCAGTGTACTGAATTGCTACCTTGACACATTTGCATTGTCCACTGCAGTGGCGGCGCTAGGGGGTGGCTACTTGGGCTCAAGCCCCGGATGTTTTCTGAAAAGCCCAGAATGTTTCAACATCCCGTGAGTGATGTGCAGTACCGGAGTTCACCAGAGAGGCAGCCGCTGCGGGACAGTAGCCTGCGTAGCCTTCCCTGCCCTGAAGAAGAAGTGATCCTTCCTAGTGCCTGACGAGTTTTAAGCTAATAGCCTATAAAGTGATGGATATTAGAAAGTTATTGTTATCGAAGCAGGCGCCACAAGCTGCAGCAGCAGCAGTATCAACAGCTGACAACAATGTAATCACCAGCAGTGAAGAAATGGATGATGTTTCAGGTTTGTGAATCTAATGGTGATATCTGCACTCTGGCTGACTGAGTAAGAAGTGAAAAAGAGTGATTTAATGTTATAGCTAGTAAACATGGAGTAACCACACTAAGTATACCCTTATATGTATGTATACAGAACATGACTAAAAATGATCCTAAGATGTAACTTTAACCCTTCATACCTCAGTCTACTTTTAAGACACTAAAAGAACGTATACCAACTTTTATTTTGTTTTCGCGCGTGGAATTATACCGACTCTCGTTTCAGTACACATAGCAACGGAACTGACAGGCAACCCTCTGAATCAGACTCCGATTGGCTGTGACGGCATCCACTCAGTGTCCGATTCAGAAACGTGACTCTTACACTCTTTACGTCACAAACAAAGATGGTGGATGAGAATAGATCTATAAAACAATAAGCAATGCGCCAGAATCAAGGTGAGACTATCCGCATCTTTTAAAACTCTACGCACATTCGTTTCATCGAAATAAGTAAATGGGCCCTCTCAATGAAAAACTTAATAGAGTTGTTTGGGATCGTATACGGCCCTGTGGGTCTCAGAGGGTTAACTAACTAAGTGTACTATAGAGTGGCGAAGTCCCTCCCCTTCCGGGGGACCTTCATGGGACCTTATTTCTGAAAAATCATGTATTGAAGTCAATGGAGAGAGAAAGATTATCTTTTGATTCCGATTGAATTGTGCAACAAATTACACATATGATGTTTGTCAATTTAAAGGTGACATGTCATGCTTTTCCGGTTATTTCCCGTCCCCTTGTGTGTTATGAAGGTTTTTATGCATGTAAACAGTCTGCAAAGTCAAAACCCTCAAAGTACACCCTGTAGCGAGTAAACTCTAACACAGAAAATACCTCCCTCAAAAGCCTCGTTGGAGATTTCTCAGTTTCCATTGTTTACTTCCTGCCCCGTGTGACGTGGCTGCACCGTGCAACGTCACTTCTTCTGCCAGTCGACCATATAAAGTGTCGTAAAACCTGCTTATTTTCAAAGCTCTGTCTAGTCATGTCGCGGAGGTTCTGTTGCCTGTCTTGTGTGGAGAAATCCACAATGTTTGCAGTACCGAAGGCCAAACCACGACAAAGTCAGTGGTTGACATTCCTTTTTAACACTGTTCCAGCTGATTTACCAGCCGGTAGTGTTGTGTGTGCGTGGCATTTCACGGACCAAAGCTTTAAAAACTTAAAAATGTTTAGCTTCGGACTTGCTGTAAAGCTGATATTGGAGGACGATGCTGTTCCTACTTTGTTTGGACCAGCGGGAGATTCGGGTACACAACCTGTAATTCATTGTGGTTTGTGTATTTATTCTGTTTAAAACAAACAATGTATCTACCACGACTCTGTAAATGCTATGCTAATGCTATGCTACCGAGGTAAACACGAGGGCTAACGAGCATTCCCAGACCTCAACACCGATGTTAGCACATGGCCTTACATGTATCTCATAGCAGGAGAATGTCTGCAAACACACACGAAATACTCATAGACAGTATACTCCGGGTGATTTAACCGTACGGTCAGTAATTACAGTTGCCGTTCGTGTATTCTACCGAGCTACCATTAATAAGCTAAGCTAGAAGCTCTAACCTAGAGATGTTATGAAAAACATTGTTTTCATGCCAGCTACAATGAATGACCGAATGTAGCAGACTAACTGTATAATATTGCAATTGTAAGATGTTCTTGCTAAGCCTAGACTAGCTGTTAAACTGCATATTAGGTTAGCATATTAGCTGGCAAGCTAACTGTGTTGATTACTGATAGATAATCATAGCTGGAGAATTTCGTCTGCAAACACACACGAAATACTCATAGACAGTATACTCTGGCTGATGTACGGTCAGTCGCCAAACATAATTACATTGAAGTTGGCGGTCCTAGCAGCTATGCTACTGAGCTACAAAGAGTCTGAAATATTACGCTACATGGGAAAAGGTAGCAGACTATCTGTAGAACATTGTAATTGTAAAAGTGTTGCTTTTATGAAATTGACTGTTTTCCTCGTATACAAAATTAATTGTATGTGTATCTTTCTTAGAGTACATCACAGCAGGAACACAATACCAACTGCTCCAGTACAGTCGGATGTCAAACAGACCGTCCACAGACTGTTTGTGTGGGAACTCAGAGGGTTGAGACACGGTCTGTGGGAACACAGACAGTGGAATGTAAAGTGTCCGCCATTTCTGTTGCTACACAGTTGGCCCGGGGAACACTGAAATCGGCACACGTGAGAAGCAAAGGTAGACTATAACACTGACAAATCACAGATACATTACCTTAATTGTGCTTTTATTACATGTACAGCACTTGGGCTCGACCAAAAATATTTTTTAAATGTGCTCTATAAATAAAACCTTATTTGATATTATTGTATATCACAGAAATACTGTTATGTTGACTACAAGAAATACAGTGCTGTTTGTAGTTTGTACTTTTTTCATGAATTAATCTGTCAGATGTACACAAGTTGTTGGCCTTTTACAATGTATTAGTGTCTTATCTAATGTACATAGTTTTTATGCACTTTTCCCTTTTTATTAACAGGCATCCAGGCCACGGTGTCTTTCAAAAGTGTTGGCACTAAAACTTCCACCTACACAGAAATCCCCTTGTCCTCTACACCAATAAAGGGCCCAGGATTGGGACCTAGCAAGAGACCTCGACTAGAGTTGGAGCAGGAACAAGGAGAGACTTCGATTGAATTTGAAGAGACTCTGGATTCGAGTTACCACCCTGATGATACTGTAGAAGAATCGGACGTATCGTAAGTTTGGTATATTTGGTACACATTACTATTACTGTTGTTCAGAGTTGACATCTAACATGTATTGTTAATTTTGTTTTGTTACATTAGACTTCAGACACGATCCACGCACAGTGACGCAAAGTACATTGTGTTTGAAAGCTGCCTCGGACAGCTGTTTGAAAAATTTCCGTTTTGTAAGACAGACTGTGATGTCCAAAAACGAAAAAATGGGACTTTTGTGGCGTTCAAACAGCGTTGTCCAAACTGCACTTACTTCAGACAATGGGAGAGCCAGCCCATCATTGGAAGTACCCCGGTTGGCAACTTACAATTATCTGCTGCTACATACTTCACTGGTGCTTCCTTCTTCCAACTAAAAAAGGTATTTTACCATCTTACATCCATAGCATATGAAAAATGACAGAAGTGGTCTCTCTGCTAGCTGCTCCGTGAAGCTAGCTACAGGGACTCTGCCTGCTCAGCTCATCCAGGAAACACAACTTGTAGCCAGCCGTGGTTGTTTGTTCTTCATGCTTATATATCGGACTATTGTGACTCGCTCTGCGGTTAAAACAGACGGTGCATGAATGCGGTTTTGCGGTAAGTGAAATTCTAGTGCTTTATTTATGTGTTAATGATTTTAATCAGCTACGTAATGAATGGTAAGGCTTGGGTTAGCATGTAAGCTAGTGGTAGCTACATCGCAGCGACGTGCAGTCAGGGGAGGCAGAGCCTCACCTGTCATACTCCAATGTAACGGTAAAACAACTAAAGAAAAACTAAATAGTAATAATAATAAAATGTCTCCACTGATCTGTGTTGTAAGTGTGATTTATGTTTGATTCCAATCGCTTTTTATGGTCAAAATCAGCAAATTGGCCGAGCTCCGCTACAACTACGGGTAGCGATGAGAAAAGTGAGGCAGGAACGAGCTCTGCCTCTCGTTAGCCCACAGTAACTGGCTGGAGCGCGGGCACTAATTTAGTGCGGGCACTTATTTTGTGAGCGCGCTCAAGCCAGTTACTGTGGGTTAAGGTGAGGCACAGATGAGCTCTGCCTCACCTCAGAATGCGTCACCCCACAGAAACTGGCTGGAAAGCGGGCCCTAAGCGCATGCCTGCACCATCTCACGGTATGTCACCAATGTAATGTTTGTAGTTACATTTATCCTCGCCATCCATAGTCTCTAAATAACTTAAATCACGTATATATGATATTTAGGCTCGCTGGTCTCATCATACAACGGCAATGAAAAAAGCACCAGGGGAGGCAGCCATAACCCCTGCCGCACTGAAGGGGGCGCACGTGAGCCCTCAGGTTCTTGTTGCTACTGTTATTCTACGCAGAGACGGTATAGATGCAAACAACAAGCTAGACTTTTGAAACTAGAGGAAGATAAGGAGGACTTTTACAAAAAAGTAATAGAGATTGTTGTCCAGAAGGATAGCATGGACTTCATCTTCAAGTCAAGGTAAGACCCCAATTGTAATGAAAATGGGATCTTATTTAGAATCCAATATTTAGATTTTGGGTGTGCGTTTGTTGAACGGTCTGTTTAAAATGAATCGAAGCATCAGACTAAAAAAGCTTTTGAAAATAACCGAATATTTCGATTATGGTCAAAATATGATATTTGTAAATCTGACTCTGAAAGAGTCAGTGCCTCACCAGCCATGAACCTCACCGCACGTCACTGCTACATCGGTGCTAACGATTGTAATCGTAGCCTCCAAGTTAAAATCATAGACAGTATATATAAAGGTTACAACGAAATAGACAAGTGTTAAGTGGGATAATACTGTTGAACAAACGGCTTCTGTTTGAGGTTGATAAAATAAGGTCATCCTTGTAACTTAGAGATATTTTATTATGTAGGTAGAACTGTATGCATCTAAGGTTAATTTAAATTGGCTATGCTCAAGTATGTAGACAAGCTAATGTCGAAGTAGTGTATGTGAAATCAACCTCACAATAAGATGTGTGTATATTACAATTATTAATGTCATATTTCAAGATGATTACTTAGATATTACAATATGGTTGGTTGAGCTGGAGTTCATTATTGAGCTTACACGTTAACGTCACAGTCATCTGAAGAACGAACCCAAACCTTGTTGTTTTTATTAATTTCATTACCAAATGGGTATCAAATAAACAGTAAGCATTGGTAACACAATTTCCAAAGTTACAGTAAAATAAAAAGGACCCTGACTCAGACAATACACAATCCAACATGTTCAACAGAAGAGAATGAGTTATATTGTTTATACACATGGTACTTTACATATATATATATCTGTTTGTTTAAGGTGTCCAGGTGATGCAGACAGGCTGGACCAGAGAGTGAGAGACAGAACTGGACTCCTCACAGCAGTGAACTTCAGCACAGGTACAAATACTCTTTTTTCATACTGTACAAAGAATCAAGAAAGATATTGGTTTAAATGAATGAAGTATTGACTTGAATACACTGATATACATTCCATTAAACAATACTAAATACTAGATCACCTACACATCAGTGAAGTTGAGGGTTTTTTCCATGCAAAAAGTTACATTTAGATGATAACAAGCAATATGACTTTGTCAGCTTTCTAATGTAATGTATTGAAGGCAAAGATATTTAACACATAGTGAGAACTGCTACTATTTATCTCTCAATATTGTCTGTAGAAAACGTGGTAAAAGTGATTCTTTCAGTGAGACAACAGAGCAAGCTTCTACAGTTGCACTACATTTTGATAACAGTTAAATATTATTTTGATAATAACATATATTTCAATGTTGATGAACTTCATAAAGTTGACTGTTGAGTTGCTCAGTTTTTTTAGATTGTCAATACTATTACTGTATAACTAATATCTCAGGTTAAGAGGCACATTCAAATAAAGATTGGTCTTTAAATACATTTTGTCTTTTGAATTGTTTGTCTAAAGTCAAGGATCTAGAACTGGTACTTAGTTTTAATGATACAGTCAGGTTATTATGCTGTTTGGAGGAGGCCTCACAGGTAAGAGCGCTAACTAGCTACCATCACATGTACCTTAGCTTGACTTAAATGTATTAAACGTATAGTTAAGTGATATCAAAATATATATAACTAATGTCATGCAAACATATTAATATTTGCTTGATTCCAGTGTTGAATTTAGTACAATTGCATACAAACGTTAAGGGGTTTTAAGATTCTGAAGTATTATGCTAAAAGCTCAATAACGTAGATTATTATTTATAGTTTTGCTGTATAGTTTCATGTCCGCTTACCTTAGAAACGTAAAATGCGACGGCAGCGTGCAGATGGGGAGCATGTTAGCTTAGCTTGGTAGCTTCAGCTAGCTCTGGAACTTCCAGAACGGTGGCAGCAGGTCCCGCCTCTTTGCCCTTATTTGGAGCAGGCTGGAGAAGGCGGGAGTTGAACTCTGGTGTCACTGTCGAGCCGTTAGTGGCCGACTCCGCCTACTAAGGGCTTCACGGCAACTCTGCAGAATCCTATGGGTGACGTCACGGACCCTACGTCCATTTATATATACAGTCTATGGTGCTGACCCCATGGCCATGGATGTTACAATTATGTATGGGTCCTCAAAAGTACCCGTATGTTCCGTATTGTTCAATAAAACTCATTTTAATCCAATCGGTGGCCATTTTCTCATAGTTATAATGTATCAGAGGAGTGCAATACACCTCCCAACCGATAGGGTCGCTTAGTTGAAAGCATGGCGAAAATACGGAGAAAATGTCCACCGATCGGATTAAAAAGCTTTTTATTGAACAATACGGAAGATGCGGGTACTTCTTATGGCCTGAACATAATTGTAACATCCGTGGCCATGGGGTAAGCACTTTATATTTGAAATATGAACGTTTATGTACATGTACAAGAGATAAATGGAGAAAGTGCAAACACCAGGTTTAAGTTCATCCATGACTGTCATGATATGACGGTGTTTCAGGACTATAGTCCACTGGGCTGCATTAGTCCTGTTTATTTTATTAAAGTTAGACGTTTGTTTATGCTGGTATTTTATGTAGCTAAGATTAATAATGAATTTACCCTGATGTTGATCCAAATTTACAATTGTGCAATGTTATTTCAGCTCATTTCACCTTGCAATGCAGCTTTTCCCTCTTTTTTTTTTAATGCAACATTAGTGTAAGATGTTGGCGCTGTTTTCTAAATGACCACAAACCAAGTATTACTGCAGTGGTTCTCAAGGATGGGATCCCCAGTTCAAATATCATTATGTTGGGGGGTCCCCAGTTCAAAGATGATTATTTTTGGGGGTCGAGGCCTGAAATGGCTGAGAACCACTGTATTACAGTACCAGCTGATGGATTGCAATAGGCCTTCTGATACTAAAAATGAATACGTGTTGTGTTGTAGGGCTGTTGTATTGGCTTACTCAGTGCTTCTCAAAGTGTGGTCCGCGGACCACTGGTGGTCCGTGAGCGCCCCCTAGTGGTCCGTGAGTATATTGGTAAAATTTCACATTTGAAATTAATTAATTAAAGTTTTTCGCACTCTCGCGGTAATATCTCCGCAATGGAGGGAGCTTAAGTTTCACTTTTAATTGCATAATATAGCCCAGATAAACACCTTCATCACACATGTTGCCACTTGTTTGTACCATTTTCAGGCAATTTGTAAAAAACGATGTGTTTTTAGACATTTGTGGAGTTAGGTGGTCCGCGAGTGTTTTTTTATTGGTTAAGTGGTCCTTGGTATGAAAAAGTTTGAGAAACACTGGCTTACATTAAAGTAGTGGTTTTCAAAGATGTTGTGTCAAGGCACACATATTCATCATGTTAAATAGTATCTATAATGTGTGCACTCTTTATATTGTTTGCATAAACTAATGCCAAAAAACTAAGCCCTATTTAATACTTTCACAACATTTGAATAGTGAAAAAACTTGTAGATTTAAAAGCTTTGATCTTGTAAGATGCCTTTTTTAAAGCTTGTAAATCAGCTAGTCTTTGTTTTGTTTGTTTTTTAGGATATAGAATGTGTTTTTTAGGATATTGAGTGCTGATATAGATAATAATTATTCATTAATAGTTTTATATATTGCATAATGTGTGCTGCCTTGTCAAATACATGATACAAGCACACCTGGATTGTCTAACGGAACACTGTTTTGGGAACCATTGCATTAGACTGTGCAGGTTTCAAAGATGTTGTACCTTCTCTAAATTCATGACAATCCCTGACACTTCATCTTTTTTAACACTACAGAAGATCTATATATTGAATTTTGTTTATTGCAACACTTATTTGCAGTGATATTGCAGCACATTAATTTGGACCTTTTTTTCCCCTCCCATTTTCAGGATCACGTACCACTTTCCAGACGAGCAGAATTGGAGAAGGAAGACTCAGTCCATTACAGCCAAGTAAATGGGCACAATTTATGTACAGTGACTACATCACCTCATCACTCTTAAGATAATGTCATCTTATTGGGCTAAAAGACATAAAGTCAACAAATTAGTGAGAGAGACAGAGCAGGATATCCTCATTGAATATAATTTAACTGCTGCTGCTAATGCAAGTACAAACCTTCACTGTTTAGAGAGCACAACTCCTGTCACAACCTCTTCTTAGTGCTTGCTAGATGCTTTACCAACTACATCAGACTTGCCAATACACCGACCACTAATTATCAGTGATCAGAGTGAAAATATCAACTCCAAAACCTCAAAGGCTTCACCAGATTTTCATTTTGAAAGTATAGATGGGGCTGACAAAATTGAATCTGAAAATGATTCTGACAGTGATGAGCATAATGAAGATTTACTCATGATAAGTTTAAAATATTGGGCAACATCTTATTCAGTCTCTCTGGTTGCACTATCCTCTTTGCTGTCTATCTTGAAGATATTTCACCCCACCCTTCCCAAAGATGGAAGAACATTGCTTGGAACGCAAAAACATGTGCCTACCACTAAAATTGAAGGGGGAGAGTACTATCCCTTTGGTATAGTAAAAGGGGTACTTTCACGTTTGGCATGTTTGAGTTTACCAGCAACTCTGACTACACTTATTTTACAGTTTAATATAGATGGTTTACCTTTATTCAAAAGTTCTAAACTTCAGTTTTGGCCCATACTTGGATGTCTCAAATGTGATTACACCAAGTCCCCATTTGTTGTTGGTATTTGTTGTGGTCTAAGCAAGCCAAAGAGTGTTTCTGAGTACCTAGAGCAGTTTGTCAAAGATCTTCAGAATGTACTGTTTAATGGCATTATTTATAATGACAAGCTTTTTAAAGTAGAGGTTTCTTCCTTTATTTGTGATGCCTCGGCTAGTGCGTATATTAAGCAGACCAAGGCATTTAATGGCTATTCAGGTTGTGACAAGTGTTTTCAGGAGGGTGTATGGAGGAAGAAAATTACATATCCTGAAACAAAAGTGAGACTCAGGACAGACTCGAGTTTCTCTGACATGGTTGATGAGGAACATCACATTGGCAAGAGCCCTTTATCTGGGTTAGTTCAGATGGTTTCCATGTTCCCAACTGATTACATGCATCTCTGTTGTCTTGGAGTAACAAGGAAACTGCTTAAATGCACAGGAACTCATGGGGATGTGGTTGAGCAGCTGCATACAGCAAGCGCAGAAGAAATATCAGAGAGGAGCCGATACCTTCAGCGCATTGTGGGTGTAACCACGTTTCTAGGGAAGCAAGGCATCCCATGCTGTGGCATGATGAGCAGGAGGAAAGCCGGAAGGCAGCTTCCTAGAATGCATGAAACTCCTCAAACTATTTGTTACGGTTGCTGTTAGTCTGCTCATTAATCTGCCTGTGAGTGTTTTCAGCTGTGTGTGTGATTAGGTAAATGAGCTGTGTGGTTGCTTCAACATAATTGGCTGCCCATCTCCTGGTCCGCCTCTGAAGATGGTGATTGGATCGACGTCGTCCAATCGCAGCGCACACCTGCTGGGGAGGAGTACAAAGGCTGCGGACTATCACCACTCTGGAGGTTCTGTTGAGTGAACAGATGCCTCTCGCTACTTGCTCGTTGTTCTGTGGTTAATCTTGTGGGGTCTGTGTTTAGATAGTGTTTAGTATTGTGTGACTGTTGCCTTTAGTTTAGCTGTGTTGTGTATAGATTATTTGGTTAGTTGTACCACTGTTAAAGTGAGGTTTTGTTTCCCTTTTATTTTACTATTACTCTGTATGATCCGTTGGACTCCTTTTGAGTTCTCCTTTTGTTCGGTTATTGTCAACCGGTGCCCTTTTGGTCTTTTTGTTTGTTCAGGCTGTATGCCTTCCATTTTGTTCACCTTGCTTTATAATAAACCCATTTATAATTAATACCAATTCTACTCTGGTCGTGTCGTTTCCCTTTTGTCCCCCTAGCCCATTGGGAACGTAACACTATTTGATCCATTTCTCCAAAAATATACACCTTCTAAAAATGCCACCTACTTCTCCCATTCGTCCCAAAATGAAACGATTACCTGCATTGCACAAGAAATTAGTGAAAATGTCACGAAACAAATGAGATCTTCCAAAAAGTACTCAGTGATGGCAGATGAAGCCAGGGATCACCACTCAGAGCAGCTGGCAGTCTGTGTTCGCTATGTCACAATGGAAGGTACCCCAAGAGAGGCTTTTCTTGGACTACACAAGTTGGATACATTTGATGCAAAGTCCATTGCAGATGGAATAGAGGCAGTGCTGCAGTCTCACAACCTAGGGGTCCTCATGTGTGTTGCACAAACATATGACGGAGCATCAGTGACGAGTGGAGCAGTGGGGGGTGTCCAGGCCCGCTTCAGAGAGCGACACCCTGAAGCAGTGTAGGTACACTGTTACGCACACAAGCTCAACCTTGTCCTGTGTCGCACATGCAAAGCCATACAGCTGTCACATTCTTGAGAGTATGTACACATTTTTCAGCAAATCCCTGGTCAATCATATCAAGTTCATAGAAATCCAGAACCAACTTGGATTAAAGCCATCTGAACTTGTGCAGCTCTCCACAACACGATGGGCAAGCCAGGTGAGGTCTGTAAAAGCTGTCGTGAACAACCTTCCTGCCATTCTAGCATGTCTCGGGACCATGAAGACAGCCCAAGGGATCCTGTCAAATCTCTGCAAGCCGAAGACGATCTACATGCTGGTGATGTTTGCCAAACTCCTCGGCATAACTGAAGGGCTTCACCGGTACCTGCAGAGGGAACGTTTGGACTTGGGCAGAGCAGCGCAGTACAAGACGGCAATCCTTGAAACCTTGACAGATCTCCGCACAGAGCCTGGGGCTGAAGATGTTTTCAAGAGCACCATGACCATATGTGAGGAACATCACATCCAGGCAGAAACAAAAAAGAGTGGATGATTTTGTGGTGGAGTCAGCCTGTGGGGCAACCTCCAATCCGACCACCCCAGGTGATTTCAGAGGGCAGCTTTATTATCCGTGCCTGGACAGGATGATACAGGAGCTCACCCATCGGTTTTCCGATGTGGGAGAAGAGCTTATGTCAGGCATTCAAGCCTGCAACCCAACCACAGCGACCTTTCTCTCCGAAGATGCTCTCAAAAGCCTCGCTAGCCACTATAAAATCCAACTGAAGTCAGAAGAACTCCTGGTGGCTAAACATTTCTCCAAGAGAAGGCTGGAGAAAGAGAAAGTCCCTCACATAGCCACTGTGTTCCAGATGCTTGACAGTGACATGTTTCCCACCCTGAAGGCTGTCCTCCAAATTGCCTTGACAATTCCGGTAAGCAGCTGCAGCTGTGAATGCTCCTTCAGCGCCTTACGCCGTCTGCACACCTGGTTAAGGAGCACTATGGGCCAAGAGAGGCTCAATGACCTGGCCATGTCTATTGAAAAAGACTTCCTGGATGCCATAACCCCTGATGACATTATTGACAGATTTGCTCAATTAAAGCCACGTCGGCACAGCCTTACTTTGCCAACACAACAAGAAAAGTAGAAAAAAAGATGGGGATGGGAAAGAGGGATAGCAGTTCAAGAAGAAATTTAACAAAGGGTGCATATAGGCCAGGGAAGGAATGGATACTGAAGAAGAAAGGAGAAAAGGAGTGGAATGGATATAATGTTGATGTTAAATAAAGAAGAGAAAGTCTGTATAAGGACTGAGGAAGAGAGAACAAGGTGAGGAAAAGAATGGAGGAGAGAATTGGAAATGAGTCATAAAACTTGTGCAGAAAGCAAAGGAAGAGACGATAGATGAAAACAGGATTAGAAGAAGGGAGTGAAGAACAGAGCAGTAAAAGACAGCAGAGGTGCCAGCATCACATTGTAAGAGAATAAGATGCATTTTATTGTTTTACATATTAATTATATGGTCAATCTTAATACCCCTTTTGTTTTATATTTTCTTCTTTCAGTGGATGTGAGGCATGTTCCCTGGATCAGTGATCTGAAGTGACTTCAACCAGCTGCTGACTGTATTTGAACGTGTTAAGGCATTAGTTTGCTTCATTAAAGGGTGTTAATGAATAAGTGTTCTCCAGTGCCTTTTGTCCGCTTTAAGGTAGGTTTAATGTTGCTCTCAAAGTGCACCAGATTGATGCTTTTAACTTCAATATTTAAAAAAAAAAAAATCTTCCCGGGGCAGCATGCCCCCGGACCCCCCTAGAGGAGGTCAGGGCCCCCCTAAATGTTCGGTCCCCCCCCCGCACTTCTGGGATAAGCCCCGGATCTCCTACAATTCTAAATCCGCCACTGGTCCACTGTACCCCTTTTTGCATCCACAGCGGAGGAGTTCACGACAGGCCTGGGTCGCTTCTGGTAATGTGGTCCAGTAAACTTCCCATCCACATGTGGCCTTCCTCTGCTGCTAGTGCGGTCATACAGCAATACCACAAATCGCTCCAGAGGCTCCATCCAGTTCTGTACGGATTCTGGCACAGAAGGCTCTAGTGACATCATCAAACGTCATCCATGTATCCCACGCCGTCTTCTTGCCCCTGCCACCAAAAGATGAGTCACATTCAGTAAATGCATGGAACATTGGTAAGGCTATGCATCGATCTGGACCTAGTGACCTCGCCATCTCATGAGCTGCTAAATGCCGACAACTCTTCCCAGCTCCAAAGGCGACCCACAGCTCAGTGATGTTGAGGGATTGGGCTGCTGTGACTACCAGTACTACCACATCCTTGTCAACTGTGCGTATTGGCACCTTGCTATACCTTTCCTTCACAGCATCTCCTAGGTGCAGTAGGATGCGGGTATCAGCCACCTCATGTGTGCATGTTGCAAGTACTGATTATTTGTTTGCCAGTGTTGAGGGCTGTAAAACTGGTTGCCAGGAACATGCCCGGCCCTCCCATTTGACATTCCTAACCCTCCCCCAATAAACACGTTTTTTATTATTTATAACATTTAAAAAATATATAAATAATAATATATAATAAACTGTGAACTTTTATGCTACGATGTATGTGATGTCAGATAGTAACTAAAAAAAAAAAAATCGCAGGCTACGTCTGTTGTGATTTGTGATTCGTCCACATTTAGACCAATCACAGCGTCACACTCTGCCGCCCATTCTGGATTTGTTAATTGTGCATTCTGTAGACTCCCATTTATGTTTGAATTACAAAATGGACATCAGAAACTGGCTCAAAAGGTCTAAGGATTTATTCAAACGAAATAGCGATGAAAGAACTGCAGCCGATGGTGCTGCTGGCGACCCTCACCTGCCGTTGCAGCAGCACGCCTTAATGTCACAAGCTGGGCTGAGTTAGCGAGCCCAAGCCTTGATTCATCAAGGCGGCCGCCACCAACGCTGTCCTCCGAGGCACAGCTCCTTGTGCCCCTACCATCACCACCTGCGTTGCCACACCCTGTACCACACCCGCCAGCATCCTCCTCCTGCTCCGTGCCGGTGCCTCCACTACAGACGCTACCTTGCAGCACATCAACAGGTACTATTGGGCCAGCAACCGCTCAAAGACCAACAGCCCCAGACGATCTTGGGGTTAATAAACCCAACCAGGTGAAACTGGATCGTTATCCAGGGAGATTGTTTTCAGGAAAGAAGCGCACTTTTGCCACTGCATGGTACAACAGACCATGGCTTGAAGATTCGTTAAACTGTCTACAGGGGAAACAAAAGGCTGCTTTTAAGGCGAGACACGGCAGGCAAAAACATCGTTTTTCAAGTACTGGTCAATTTTGAGAGTTTGTGCTATTTTGATTCTATAACATGTTTTCTTTCAGGCTTTTGGAAGGAAAACGTACAAAATACACATTTAAGTGTTTATTTTTACTATAGTTTGTCTATTTGCGTCTGTAGATTTCTCCTAAATTCACCAAAAGTTAGCTATCTAACGTAACATAAAGTACCGCGACCGCTGTGTGCACCATGTCATCAGAGGTATCGCTGGAAAGCTCCGTCTCTCCTACACAATCTCATTGGATCCAAATATGGTCATTTCCTTTGTATCAGCAACCAATCGTGAAAGCACAAAGGGGTCTTAAACCAAGAAACAAAATCTCATTGGCTGGTGTCAATTTCTGACAACATGATTCGTTCAGATGCGTCACGTGGTGTGCTAAAACACTTCCTGGTTAGCTTTCCGCTAGAAATTGAAATCTCAAAATGGCAAAAAAAACGTTCACAGAGAAGACGACAACAATTGTCACTTGCACGAAGCAAGGTTATACAAAAAACAAATGACCCTGAACATGAAATACCTTCACGGAGTGCGTCGATGCGCAAGCTGTCATCCAAAGAACAGGAGGGTTTAGCTAGCGCCTCACTGCAATCTTTAAAGGTCGTTTTCTCAAAATGAGTTTTTACTCCTACTCTGAGTTCGAAATGTCAACTTCAGTAGCACGTAGATACACCAAACCTTCCAGTTATATTCCTATCAATATTATGAAGGCTTTTACAGAAGGGTTTGGTCATATATCATTCATAGCCTGAATTATACGACATTGTATACCTAAAAACATGGTGAAAATGGATATTTTAGTGCTGTTGACAGTATTTTCTGATTTATGGAGTGATAAAAAGAGATATCCAATATCCCTTCTGTAAAAGCCTTAGATACTAATATGACTACAAAATGAAACAAGAATTTTGAACCTGGCTTTATCCAAAGTTCAGATTTCGGTTCCTGAAATGTGTTAAAATATGTGCATATTTAATGAGATAATGGATAATTTGCATATTTAAACATGCTATTTTCAGAAAACTTGTAATACAACCATGAGGAAGCTGCCATCCTTAACCAGTGTGCCTTGCCCGTGATTTACCAGTGTTTGTGCTGCCACGCACACAATGTTTCAAAAGTAGTTTCTATGTTGCCCTTTATTTACGATAGTGTTGGCCTTGCTGTTTGATATATTGTGCCGCAGGCACGTGACGGTTTTGTGTGCCCTCCCATGAAAATCATATGCCCTCCCTTTTAGATTTGTTCTCGCGCCGGGTCTGGCCAGAAAGAAGAACAGTTCAGAAACTCTGGCCAGTTTCCAGGAATGACACTGGATGGCTCAACGCGTCTATGAACACCCTTCCCTCTCTTGCCGCGTGTTTCAGCCTTCAGACTCTCGGGGAAATATTCATCCCACACGACGTCAATTCTGCTGACATGCTCCAGCTGAGACGGGATGTATGGTGAGAACGCTTTCTGCGCATAATAAAAAAACCTCTTAGCAGCACCAGGTCGTAGCATGTAGCATGTAGCAAGTGGAAAGTACGTTATGCTGGCCCGGGGTGTCTAAATAGTGCCTCCGGGCCAGCGGACCATTTATAATGTCGAGCCCTGCTAACTTTACTTTGATCCCTAAAGTGGAACTCCCAAGAGTTTTACACATACGTGCTTTACAGGTATATAAATATAATACAATCCAATGCATACAAGTTATTGTGCAAAATACAGCTGTCCCCTCTATGGCTTAAAGCAGTCATTGACCTGCCTGTAAGTGTCATTGCCTCAAAGATGCTAGCAGGCTGAGTGGTGTAAGTAGTGAACTGTGTAGCACTCTCAGGGTCAGCAGTTCAATCCTGCTTGTGGACATCTGTCACCTGTCGTCCTTGTCTCCGGTCATCTCACCTGTCACTCTGTTATCGGCTGTATAATAAAAAAGCAATGTGCGAGATGGAGTTCATGACTTTATGAGCTGTTCATGAGCACTCATGAACAACTCATTATATGTTCACTTGTCATGTTCATGAACCAAAATTCTCATGAACCATTTTAAAGAGCAGTTCATGAAATTTTTATGAACATTGTTCATTCATATAAAGTTCCTGTTTTGCTCATGACAGACTTTTGAGCAATTTATGAACTTTTCATGATCCAGCCAATCACAAAATTATAATTAAAACCCCAAAAAGTTTGCATGAGCATTTCATGAACTTTTCATGACTATGAGCATTTCATGAATTTTGGATGATTGTGGCAAGTTTAGAATAATCATGAGCATTTTATGAACTTTTGATGATCAGTGTGATGATTTTAAAGACCTCTTGAATATTCATCTACTATTTGAACATTTCTTTATTTTTTAAAACTTTTAATCTTAAAACTAAACAATAGTGCATTTGAAACTGAACATTATCTGTATTTATTTTGGTGACATTCATATCATGTTATGGTTTATCTGTACTGTTTGAGAAGCAGTACGAGTAAGTAGCGCCAAGGTGGAACCTTTGGCAAGTGAGCGGTGACATATGGGTTATCTTAGGGGGGACACTTCCGCCCCTCCAGTCAGAAGCAATCCAGACGATCAACCGGA